CCCATTCATGAGATGATTTGTGAACTGGAGAGCCAGGGAATGCTCAGCAAGACTTGCTCACCCTTTAATAGTCCTATCCGGCCAGTGTGTAAGTCCAATGGAGAGTGGAGACTGACAGTGGACAATCATGACCTGAACAAAGTCCCATCACCACTGAGTGTTGCTGTGTTGGACATGCTGGAACTTCAGTATGAACTGGAGTCCAAGGTAGCAAAGTGGTGCCACCATTGATATTGCTAATGCATTTTTCTCCATTCCTTTAGCAGCAGAGTGCAGGCCACAGTTTGCTTTCACCTGGAGGGGCGTCCAGTACACCTGGAACCAACTGCCTGTGGTGGTGCATACTCCCCTCATCAGGCCACATTATGATCTGAAAAATGCTCGTTAGGAGCCTTCACAAAGAGTTCCTCTTGAGCTTATCAAAACCACTGTCTGTTCCCAGGAACATGTGCTGTCTAATAAGCTCCTGTTTTTTAATGAACAGCCTTGGAAACTTATTTTTCTTTCCTGAATAACAACCCAAGTGGAATAATATTTTTTAAATTAAGCTTTCAAAGAAAGTTACTGACCTGAGTTGCAGTCAGGATAGAAAATTATTGTGACTAAAGTCCACTCTTTTGTGACCCTATCAACAGTGGTCCTAAGTAAGATCCTTTGAGCTCTCCTGGACTGCAGCAGGCTGTTACCAGCAACGTCATTCTGGATAGGGTCTCTCAGAGCCAGCAAACTCTCAAATTTGCTATACTCTGAGGATGACCAAACAACAACAATGGATCCTGGGCTGATACTCTCACTCCTCAGGAGTCAACCCTTTGTCCGCTGAGAAGATGCAATGGCATCTGAAGTGAGTATCTCACTGAATTCGGGGAGATTTTTTCACAGGTACCATCTTTGTACATGCGAGTTTGCATATGCTGTAGCAAATATACCAGGAATGTTGTTCTCCTAGATTTTCAAGTACTTTAGATTTGTAACTAAGTTAGGACTGAAAGTAAATTACTGTTGTAGTATAGAAAATTCTATATGAATCCTTTACTAAATCGCTTAACTTATTGATTGAGTTTAAGTACTATTAAGTAAAATGCTGTTAAGTTTAAGTTAAATAAAGTGCTGTTGGTGAAGTCCAGGGCTCAGTTTATCATTGGAGTCTACTCTGAAGCTTGTGACTCAACAGAAATGTCTTCTGTACTCCTTTTTTTTTTTTGTCCTTACCATTTTCTAGCCTCTTGTCTTCCCCTCCTCCTGTCCCAGACTCCACATAGATAGTTTTGTGTTTATTTTGATTTAGATTGACTGATTTTTGATTTTTGTTTGCTTTTTCTCTGTGTGTTTTAACCATCTAGTAAATAAAAGAGTGAACCTTACCAATGGACTTAGTCATTATATGGCTTTTTATATTACACCTTTGCTGGTGAATAAGTGAACTTAAAACACTCATTCACAACATTGCCCCAGGAGTGGAAACAAAGCCTGCTATTTGCCATGAACTGATCTAGACTGCACTGGAAAAGGGTGAGGCTCCAAAATAATTACAGTACATTGATGTCATCATCCTGTGGGGCAACACAGCAGAAGAAGTTTTTGAGAAAGGGGAGAAGATAATCCAAATCCTCCTGAAGGCCAGTTTTGCCATAAAAAATATTAAGGTCAAGGGACCTGCCCAGGAAATTCAGTTTTTAGGAATAAAATGGCAAGATGAATGTCATCAGATTCCAAGGGATACGGTCAACAAAATAGCAGCTATGTTCTCACTCACCAGCTAGAAGGAAACACGGGCTTTCCTATGTGTTGTGAGTTTTTGGAGGATGCATATTCCAGATTACAGTCATTGTAAATCCTCTCTATCAAGTGACATGGAAGAATGACTTTAAGTGGGGTCCTGAACAACAAGCTTTTGAACAGGAGACGATTCATGCAGTAGCCCGTGGGCCAATCAGGACAGGACAGGATGTAAAAATGTGCTTTACACTGCATACATGGGAGAATGATCCTTCCTGGAGCCTCTGTCAGAAAGCACCAGGGCAGACTCAAGGTCAACCTCTAGGTTTTTGGAGCCAGGGAGACAAAGGATCTACGGCCTGTTACACCCCAACTGAAAAAGCGATACTGGCAGCTTATGAGGGGCTTTGAGCTGCTTCAGAAGTGATTGTCACTGAAGCACAGCTTCTCCTGGCACCCTGACTGCCAGTGCTGGGCTGGATGTTCAAAGGGAAAGTCCCTTCAACACATCAGGCCACTGATGCTACATGGAATAAGTGGGTTGCACTGATCACACAGCAAGCTTGAATAGGAAACCCCAATCACCCAGGGATCTTGAAAGTCATAATGAACTGGCCTGAAGGTGAAAATTTTGGACTATCGTAGGGGGAGGAGGAGGAGGAAAAGGTGACACATTCTGAGGGGGCTCCACCATATAATCAGCTACCAGAAAATGAAAAGCAATACGGTCTCTTCACTGACAGTTCCTGCCGTATTGTAAGGATCCATTGAAAACAGAAAGCTGCCATATGGAGTCCTACATGGTGAGTTGCAGAAGTTATTGAAGGACAAGGTGTATCAAGGCACGTTGCACCTCAAGGAGATTTGATTTTTAGGTGAGAACAGTCTGAAATGTTGAATTGTATAATACTGGTTGCTGAATGACACTGCCACTGTATGTCATAACTACCATGGACAATGAGTGTTACAGAATTTCTGAGAGAGAGAGGTCATGATTTATGTTTGGAATGAGGTTTGAGCTACCCACTCAGACTAAGCCCTGATAAGCAGCCTTGATGGCGCCTCAAAGCCTTTGATGCAGTGAGAATTCAGTTGTAGCGCAGTCAGAAATTCTGTTAAGGTAACTACAAAGTAATGAGCTATCCGAGCATGAATTAGAGTAGAGCTGCAGTGTGAAAAGTTTAGCCACCTTAAAGAACAGGTAAACAATGTTAGCTTGCCAATCAGAGTGCCTTTGTAATCTGTAAACTATGTAGAAGCTTATATAAACTACCATCTTATCTCAAATAAAGGGAGAACGTTTGATTAACCACATTGGTTCAGATCTGCGTTTTTCCTGTCCAGCTTCCCGTTTTCTGAGATTCTATGGCTTACAAATGAGGATGAAGTGCTCCAGATACACCAGTCCTGATGCAGCTTTCAACCAGCCAACAGCACACCAGCTCTCCTGCCCTGGAAGACATCTAGGATGGACAGAACCCACAGTCATGGACTACATGAACTCAACAGATATCTTGGAGGGATGGCCATTGACTATGGCAATGACACCTGTGATTGCGCATATATGTGTGTGTATATATATATATATATATATATGGAAGGTGTAGGAGTGGTTCTGGCCAGGACAGGGTTAATATTTGCTGTAGCCAAGAGGGGGCATGTTTAGGACCCAGAGGTTATTCTATACTATCTCATGTAATTTTCCAGGAATGGGAAAAGGAGTCCCTTCCATGTTGAGGCAGTGTGGCAGAGGTCAAGTATTGTTGGGCTTCATTTGGTGTAGTGGTGAACATTGCCATGTAAATTGCTCACCTCTCTTATACACTTTTGGTATTAATATTGTTGCTGTTACTGTTTGTTTTCTTATCTCATTGCTGTTTCTAGTAAATTGTTCATATCTCAACCCATGTTTTTTACCTTTTGTACTTCCAATTCTCCTCTCCATCCTGACACGGGGAGGGGAGGAGTGAGTGAGTGGCACATGGTCTGGGGTGTTTCAGTGGGAACACTAAATAGGGGAATACCATTCCTAAACCACAACAAAGGACTTAAGACAAAATAACATTTCTGTTACATTTTTAATCACCTCACTTTAAAAGAGCATTCTTTTATAGGCAAAAAAGGATTGTTGTGTTTATCCACAGTCTGCAATATATTACTCATTGCCTAATGAGTAATATAAATAGTACACAATTGGACAAACACAGTCTATATGCAATAAAGAGCAATTCACAGTATTATCATGGAATATGACTATAATAAATTTTAATATTTTAATAAAACCAATATGGATACTTCTGTTAAATGTAAAAACCAATATTGATTTAACAAAGACCATATTCTTAAACTCTAGCTATCACATACCAAGTTAACATCTCAACTTTCTTAGACTCTATATCTTACCACAGAACAATTTTTAATATACCATATATTTGGTTACATACTAAATCTTATGTATTTTACACACAGTTATGCAATATAACTATATCGTGTTAAATGTCATTTATTCAAAGATCTTTGGAACAAACAAAAAGAATTCAACTGTGTTAGTGAAGTTCTAAACTTCTTTTAAGTTAAAATGTTTTAAAATGTTGGTTCATGAAAGAAGACAAACGTATGACTACCAGTAGTCTGTAACATATTAGTTGAGCAACAAAAGGAAAAACTTGTTTCTTCCAAGCAGAAGAAAGAGATAAAAGGGAACCCTTTTTCTAAACCAAATGAAAAATAATAAATTGATGTTTTACAGATAACTGTAAACTAGTTCTAACCATTTACTTAGGAAAGGTTGGAAATATAAACACAAACAATTAAAGAAAGTATGCTAATGATATTGTATTTTAAATAAAAATATGAAACATATTAAAAATAATTAAACCAGCTGTACTAGAAATAGTGCTTTATGATCAGTATTTTTCAATGAAAGATCAGAAACTATACTATCCAAGATTTCATCTTCAGGTATTGTTCATGCTGTTCGTTCTAAGAATATATGTTGTCTACACTTTTATCTGCATTTAATAAAAACCGGCAGAATGCATGGTCTGAAGGATAAGAAGCCTTCAGAGAAAATGGAAATAGAGACTGTTTCTGAGGTTCTATTTTTCTTATAGCCAAAGCAGAAGCTGGAAAATTTTGCCTGAATCACTGTATAAATATAGACCAGAAAAATGTTCCCACTTTGCTTTCTTGATAAAATAAGAACTAACAATAAATTTTTTTTTTTTTTTAATGTGTGGAAATAATTTTTTTTTAAGTCTGGGTTTTAAAGCTAAAGGTACCTGTACATTGGCAAAATCCACACGGTTGAGATCACTGAGCATCTGGTTGATCTGAGAAGTGTTCTGAAGCACAGCCCGAGCTGCCTGAGCCAGGTGATTAAGAGATGTGTATCTTCTCAAAGTCTGGGCAAAGGCACTTACAGTAGCAACCTATGAAGAAATCCATTTATCTTAATACATTGTATTATCAACCAATCTTCTGTTTTGTCTATTTTAATTCTAAAATTGCTGTATTAATTTATAAGCCCTAAGATATTGCAATTCACATATAATGGAACAAATACAGTTTGTTGGGTTTTTTTGTTTCTTTTTTTGGCAAAAAAAAAAGTTATTTCCAACCCCATGGTTCATGTTTGAAGTTTAAACTAAATATGACATTTAGAATAAAAGTTAAAATGCTGCTATTTTTAGATCTTGAATAACATCTAGTGTACAATTTCAGAAAGAGAAGAAAACTGCAGTCAACTTTGTTTACCTTGCTTTGTATCATTCTCTGTGGAATATTGTTCATGGCACTGGAAAGCCAGCCTTCAAGGCTTTTTGCAAAATTGCGAATGGCCTGAGTCAAGGCACCTAAACATTAAAGAATAAAAATAAAATGAAAAGGATGTCAAGGTGCCTCTCTTGAAACCTTTTGCATCTTCAGTATTTAAATATTCCACATTGAGAGCTACTACATTTATTGGCTTAGAGACTTATCCAGTTAGGTTTGGATCCCTATCATTGCAAGAAGTATGTTGATAAACTGTAGTAAGTTCAGTAGAGGGCCACTGACACGGTCAGGGAGCTGGAGCACATACCTTATGAAGAGAGGTTGAGGGAACTAGGTGTTTCAACCTGAAATAGAGAAAGTTTAGGGGGGACCTAATAGAAGTCTTTCAATACCTACAAGGTATCAAGAACAGACTCAGCCTCTTCACAATGATGCATGGCATGAGGTTGATAAATACTGGGCATAAACTGAAAAAAGAGTGATCCTGACTTGATAGGAGAAATTTTTTCACCTTGAGGATAGTTTAGCAGTGCCAATTCATGGCACTTCATTGGATTCTCTTCAGTATGTCCATGTCACTCTTGTACTGAGGAGACCAGAATTAGATACAGGACTCTAGGTATACAGCACTCAAATGGTGCTGAATAAAGGGGAAGGATCACCTACCTGGACCTACTGGCAACACTTTGTCTAATACAGCCCAGGATACCATTAGCCCTCTTTGCAGCAAGGGCACTCTGCTGGCTCATGTTCAACTTGGTGCCCACCAGGACCCACTGGTCCTTTTCTGCAAAGCTGCTTTCCAGTTGGTTGGCCTCCTTGGCATGTACTGGCACATGGGATTGTTCCTCTCCAGGGGCAGGACTTGGCACTTCCCCTCGTTGAACTCTATGAGGTTCCTGTCAGCCCATTTCTCCATCCTGTCGAGGTCCCTCTGGATAGCAGCACAACCTTGTGATGCATCAGCCACGCTTCAGTTTTGCATCATCAACAAACTTGTTGAGGGTATGCTCTGCCCCATCACCCAGATCACCAATAAAGACATTGAACAGTGTTGGACCCACTACTGACCTCTGGGATACACTGCTATTTACTGACCTCCAACTAGACTTTGTGCAACTATAACTATGGGATTTTCTGGAGTGCTGCAATGGATAAATACAGAATCTTTAGGGGAAACAAGACGAGAAGGTGCTCTATATGAAAGAGGAGCTGAAATGCATAGAGCTTTGCCTAGGGATGGATGATAAGCCAGTTCAGGGCTTAAGGGTCCAGGTTAGATTACATAATAGCATGGGCGATGTTGTGGGTATCTGTTACAGCCTATCTCATAAAGAAAAAGTAGATGAAGTCTTGTGGTGGCTTGACCTTGGCTGACTTCCAGGTGCTCACCAAGCTGCTATATCACTCTCCCTTTTCAACAGAACAGTGGAGAAAAATACAAAGAAACGTTCATGGGTCAAGATGAGAATACAGAGATCACTCAGCAATTGCCGTTACAGGCAAAACAGACTCAACTTGGGGAAATTAACTGAATTTATTGCAAATCAGAGTTGGAGAGAGATATAAGAACAAATCTAAAAAAAGCTTCCTCCAACCTTCACTTCTTTCCAGGAACAACTTAACTCCCAACTCTTCTACCTCCTCCCCCCAAGTGGCTCAGGGCAACAAGAAATGGGGGTTGCAGTCAGTTCATAACACTGTCTCTGACTCTCCTTCCTCCTCATGCTCTTCTCCTGGTCCAGTATGGGGTCTCACCCATGGGAGACAGTCTTTCACGACCTTCTTGAACATTGATCCTTCCCATAGGCTGCAGTTCTTCACAAACTGCTTCAGCATAGGTCTTTTCCATGGGGTGAAGTCCTACAAAAACAAACTGTTCCAGCATTTGTCTCCTCACAAGGTCACAGGTTCCAGCAGAAAACCTGCTCTATCATGGGCTCCTCTCCACGGGACCGCTGCTCGTGACAGGACCCTGCTCTAGCATGGGGTCTCCATGGACTGCAGCTTCCTTTGAGGTACACCCACCTGCTCTCGTGTGGGATCCTCCATGGGCTGCAGGGTGACAATGTACTTCACCATGGTCTTCCCCATGGGCTGCAGAGAAATCTCTGCTCCAGCAACTGGAGCACATTCTCCCCATCTTCTTCACTGACCTTCGTGTCTGCAGAGTTGTTTCTTTCACATATTCTCACTCCTCTCTCCTGGCTGCTGCTGTGACCCATTTTTTACTCTTTTTCAAAATATATTACCACAGAGATGCTACTAATGTCTCTGGTTTAGACTTTGGCCAGTGGCAGATCCATCTTGGAGCCAGCTGAAAGTGTCCCTTTCTGACATGGGGACAGCTTACGGTATCTTCTCATAGAAGACATTTGTGCACTCCCCACCTCTACCAAAAGCTTGCCATGTAAAGCCAATACATGTCTCCTTCAGGTACCTGGAATAAGCTTCATGTTTACAGGCTCCAGTTTTCCTGAGGGACTGGAACAGCAGAGCTGTCCCTATTTGCTAGAGGGACAACAAAGCAGAGCAAAAGCAACCCAAGAAGACAGTTGAACAGTGCAACTGGTCACCCAGAGAGCTTTGTGTAGCTTCCATCCTTAGATGTTTTCAAGACCTGACAGGGTAAAGCCCTGAACAGTCAAGTCTGAATTCAGCATTGACCATGCTTTGAGCAGGAGGTTGGACTAGAGACCTCCTGAGGTACCTTCCAACCTGAATTATTCTTTGATTCTATATTATGTAACAATTATTCAGTTTCTGATTTAACAAACAGAACTGACCATTTCACCTAAGACCCCTTCAAAAAACTTATGATCAGCAGTGAAAATTCTTTTTGGCATTCCTACAGGTACATCAGTAATTGTAACAACTGTTTCCTAACTCCTGAAAACTTTCATCATGAATTTTCTGCCATAATTTTTTTGCCTAAGTGCTTTTGCTTTTAAAGAGCAAAACCCCACAGGAAATGGCAATTATTGCACTAGTTCAGTTTCCTCAAGTAAGCTTGAAGTACCCCAAACCATTGCCAACATGTTTTTCTTTTCATTCTGAAGAACAAAAGGCAATGTACAATGTACAACGATGGTATCGCTAAGGAATATATAAGAATGTATTAAACAAACAAGGTAGGATTGCTCATACTGGCGTGAAAATTTGGTGGTGGAGAATGAATGCTGCTACAGTAATAAAGAAGAAAAAAAAAAACAGAAAAGGGAAATATTACTATCTATAAGAGATTTTGTTTTTACTACATCTAAGAAGAAACAGTGGAAGTAAACAGTGGATTTTGTTTATAAGGCAAAACATCATGTTTGGTAGAGTAAGAATTAATTGCTCATGTAAGTCACCTAATATGAGAAATGCCCTTTTTCAGCTTGAGTAATTGATGAATCCTGTAAATAAAAGCTTCTAGCAAAGTTAGCAAATTTGCTTAAAAAAGAAAGAAATATTTTCTATTTTAAAGCATTATTTTCTTCAAATTTATAGTGGCAACTGGTTTATGTAACTGTCCCCAAATGTGAATGCTCATCTGAAATTTAATTTGGACTTATAAAACTTCTGAATCAGCTCTATGGAATGGGCTTTTTCTGTTTTCTTTCTTGAGGTTTCCAGGCAAAGAGCAAACACTCAGTTTCACTGTCAATTATTTAACCCACATGTTTCTACATTAACATTTTTGCATGCACTTGCTAATTAACAAAGCATTTGCTCATGTTAATTTATTACCTGCAGAATAAAAAAAAAAAAAAAAAAACACAACCCAAACCTCTTTCAGATAATTTGCAAAGTGTTAATAAACACACATTAAATGATACAGCAAAAAAGTTAAAAGGAAAACATGTATTTTTGTATAAGCCTTCAAAAAGCTTGGGTTTCTTATCTGAAATATTTCTTCTACATAAATAACAAGATTTTGCAGTCTTTCTGGTATTTGTAATTGCTGAAATTGACAGATACAACATGAAAAATATCTTGAACATTACTTCTCTGTCTGGAAGAGGAGCTCCCGAACAAGTTTGGTGCTATCCATCCTGTCACTTGTGAAGAGATAAAAAGGCCATTCTCAGGGGAAAGGATCTGTTGCCATTAATACACAGTGGCTCTGGTATTTTGCTAGAATCATGAGATAATAATAAATTTTACTCCTGACTGAAGTATAAAGTGTTTGGCCTCTTTTTGAACAAAGAAATGTGGCTTTTTCCCACACAGTAGTTTTTCATTTATTTTGTGAGCACTGAAATGTTTTCACAAAAATTTCAACTAACCAAATTTTACTTAGAGCTTGCTTTTCAAAAGGTTTTCTTCACTATTAATTTATTCTATGGTAATATTTATTAGGAAGTTATGTGAAAGAGTAGGTTTCCCCAAATACTGAAAATCAGGAAAAGGAAAAAAGATGAAACTCAAAAATAGAATTATTAGTTTGCATCCTTACAAAATTAAACACATTTCCCCTTTTATTTTTGGCCAGCTGTTGTTGGCACCTTTCTGATTATCCAGAAAAAAAGAACTCTGCCTATGATGGGGTATTTCTACAGAGAAGTACTTGCAAATATTTTGCTGAGTTGCTTCTGACAGCATAGATAACAGAGGCAGACAACAGATGCAGTACTTGTGTCAGAAGAGAGAACAGCATTCATGTCCTCAGCAATGGTGTTAATGTGTCACAGAGTACCACCTCCAGCCATCAGAGCAACTATCCGCATAATGTCAGAGGCCTCAATCCAGACGGAACTTCTGAGGGAAGATGCAGCTCAGAGTACAGCAAGTGCTTGGGGTCTCTTGCTGAGGCTGAGGCAGAGTGGGACAGTTTCCTTGCCTGCAGAAGGTGTGCAGTGGAACAGGACCTGTGTTGCCAAGGAAGTGCAGGAAGAGGTCAGCAGACTGTGCAGTATCAGAGAAGGTGAGAAAGAGATCTACTGTATCTTTTTCAAGACCCTGCAGTCTGAGGTCTCAGCTGTATTGAAGGAGGATCAGGTGGTCTGTGCTAATTGGATCAGGAAATGGCAAAGGCCGGAAGTCTGTGACTTCTGGAAACAGAAAGAAGGCTCCTGCTTCACCTGCATATCTCCAA